TGTTGTTGTTGTTGGTGGTTGTGGTGGCTCGGACGCCATAAATACGTGCCAAACCGACATTGACATGCCGATTCCATCGGTGTTTTCAGTGTTTCCTCTGCTTCATGTGCCGAATATATCGGTGCCGTCGGTTCGCAGCACCTCCAAATTCGCAGTTTTCTCACCTGCCGAAACGCTCGGTGTTTACGGTGATTTCGCTGCTGTCAGTGCCGAAACCATCGGTATTTACAGTGTTTCCTGTACTTTGGCTTCCCTTAGCAGAGCGTTGCCCAGGTCATGCCGACCCCTTGCCGAAAACATCAATATTTTAATATTTTACTGTACTCCGACCCCATCCCATTGCCAGAGCATCCATGCCCGAACGGCAAAAATCGTCCACGCCGACCCCCATCCCATTGCCAGAGCATCCATGCCCGAACCGTAATTAACGTCCACTCTGAGTCTTCCGCTTCTTCATCCTTGTCTGCATTTTCATCTGCACCGTCACTTTCTTGCTCGTCATCTGCATTCTGCCATGTTCATTTTTTGTGTTGTGAAACATGGCTTTTGTCCCACGCCGGCCACACGAAACGACACAACGCAAACAAAGAACACATGATCAAACACATGCTTCTAACATTTGCCTCCACCACTTTCCCGCAGTAAAAAGCAAATGTTCTTTCTCTTGAAAAAGGAGTTCCCGCAGGACATCGAGGAACAGCCAAAGAGACCATCTTCGAGATCGTCACGGTTCCGTCCATATATCATCATATATTGGCGTGTTTTTGGGTGGGGCTCCTTGCTACGGTTAGTTGCACTGATCGCCATCAAAGTTGTGACGACAAAGCTGCTAATGCTGACGACGAGGATGAGGATGATGATGATGGTGGTGGTGATGATGACGACGACGAGGAAGTGACGAGGATCAGCATGAAGTCAATGATGATAAACAGTAGCTTGCAGTACTAGTTACTATTTGTGTTGTTTCGTGTTTATGATTTTGACCGAACTGGCTTAGATCCATGTTCATAAACTCCGTATTGAGCTGTGCTTGCGACAGGCCATGTCCAGTTGCAAGCGCTCCTCCGTAGGAAACACGTCTGTTCCAGTCTAGCTTTGGATAGATCCGACCGTCCTTGGTCCGGTTTGCCGCATCAAGCAGCGAAGGCGCAGGTGGAAGCCGAGCCGGTGCACAGCGCTTTACAGTCATGCACCGCGGAGTTTCCGTGGATTCCCTCACGCATCTGATGAAGGACAGGACATGTCATGACATGTCAAGGCTTCCTTATCATCAGTTCGAAAAGGGGGGTGGGTGGCCACTTTGGAGGTTCAACAGCCTGAGAAGCGTTTCTACGTGCACACCCACAAGGCCGGGACCAGTTTAATTGCACAGGCGATTATAGGGGTGTTAGGGGCAACGATGCTGGATGTTGAAGTGTGACAGGGTGGGACAGAGGCTGTCGAAACCCTGCATGGGTCCTGCGCTTGGAAACTCCGGGAACCTTCTCTACCTGGATTGTGTTTCTGCAGAGGGATGAATTCGCCCCTGTTGCCGTGCAACCAGGCTTCGATGACTGCCAACTGCTGCATGCGAGTCCTGAAACTGGTAAGCTGAACGGCAAAGGGCATGCCATGGCATGCCAAAGTGAATTCCTGTCGAGTTGATACACAGCTCGTCTACAAGAAAACAGATACACAGAAGAAGTTGGACATATCGACTGACTGGGCAGAGCAGAGTGCAATCCTGCAAAACGCCAGTTGACCAGCATAAAACCCTGTCGGTTGACGGCGGCTCAATCCAAGGTTTCCTTTACTTAGAGGAAAATGCTACCTGCGATTCCGCACAACCACCCTGCCGAAAAGCTTTACGAGTTGACTGTTTGAGGATCGGAGCTAAACGTCAGAGTTGACAAGTTGGATAGGAAGGCTTTGCCAGTAAACTAAAATTCGCTTCCACTTCTGCTCGCTCTCGCTATGGCTCTGCATTTGTTCGCGGGCAATGAGTACAGTCGCACGACAGTGCTTTAGCATGCCAGACTGGAAAGTCGTTGAGGAAATCCGGCAAATTCCTGGCTTCGTCACATCAAGTTGGTAGCTCGCAGGCACCTCAGATTTCTGCGAAAGGTTTGAGGAGCAATCAGACACTCCCTTGTTCACAAGATCCCTGCCAGAGGCACGTCCGGGCCGAGATTGCTGCGAAGCCATACTCGCGAAGTGAGTCGAACTCCGCTGGGTGGCTCAGAGATTCTCATGAGATGTTGCCGTCGTTGTCGCATTGAGCCGTCCAGGCAATCTCAACTCGGAGCACTTCCAGAGAAGAGGGGTTGACATGGAAGGTGCGCACTCTTTCCGACTCCGAGGAGTGCTGTGAGCACATGCCCGAGGTCACAGGAGAAGATCGGCAGATCAGCCCAAGAAGACGAGCAGACCACAGCCTGCACCTCGGTCTGCTCAGAGCCGCAGATCAGCCGTGGCAAAACATGTCCGAATGTTCGGCAGTTCAATAGATTCCCTTTCGTTCGCGGCACATGGGCCGACCGAAGATGTGAGCAGCTCGTGCTGGCGAGGACGTGCAGTCCGTCCCTTTCCACTTCATAGTAACCTGTAATGGGAGCTTTGATTGGCGGGACAGATGTGAACCAAAATGTACACTTCAGCGGCTTCGTCTTGGTGTGGCGGTGAGGCTAGTAGTCAGGCGTTACGTGCAGCGTTCGGTGATCTATAGGTCAGCTTGCACACTCACCAGGTCTGCATTCCACGCACAACATCATTGCTTTTGTCTATTACTTGATGCGGTCTGTGGTGCACAAGAACACTGTGCTTCATCGGCTCAGTGTTGCCTGCCGGCTTTGCTCTGCCTTCAGAGCAGCAGAGCATTGGGAGGGCAGCTCCAAGATGGCCATGCATTTGCTATCCTGGATCTGATCTCTGCAAGTCAAGCAGTGGAGTCTTCACTAGCTACTTGCAGCCGTCGATTTGCAGCAGAAGTTGCAGGAGCCAAGAAGCTCCTGAAGAAATGCAAATGGTGGAAACGAGCGAGAGGTTTTACCCAATCGACAAAGATCTCTTCATCTGTAGACGCCCATCAACATTGTAAGCAGAGCCCAGTTCAGGTTTCGGCTTTTGGAAGATCAACTCCGAGGAAGCACGTGGCTTACTGCACATGTCGCGAGTGTGTACGTGTGTTGTGTGGAGACATCGAGACTGCTGTCGAGATGTCGTCCAGGCAGCTGTGGTTACTGCCAACCCTCGCTCTCGCACGCCTCCACGAACTGAAAGCACAGGTGCAAATTCTAGCCGCCGGCTTCTGTTCGAGCATGTTGCACAGCTGAGTAGACAAGAGTGCGGGGTATCCACCTTCAAGTTTCAAGCAGTGCTAGCCTACTTTTGCGGTTCTTTGCGCTAGCCAACTTTCGCGGTTTTTTGACTCAAGACGGATACGGCGCGATCGGTCGCGGTGGCAGAGCAGAAACAGAAAATAGAAACTGCCGAGCCGCATATCCTGTAGTTACATGTTTTTGCAACGCGAAGCCACCGGAGCCTGAGATACTACGTCGTTACTACGTGTTAAACATCTCTTTGACACTGTTCGTGTTTTCGTTTACGCTGTTTCCTGCGAAACTTCAGACCTGAAGATAAAAAACCACGGGATACGCCGGCACAGAGGGTACAGAGGACGGGCCGCGACAGACAGCCTGGGCTGCACGCAGACAGATGCACATGCGCACACAGACACACACGCACGCACGCACCCACACACACACACACATTTACGCATAATTTTGCATTCGCGCAGCCTCCAACCTGTAATCAGAATGTGTGGTAGAGCAGGGTAGAGCCAAGCGCTATGTTCAGAATCGGGCCCGGGACCTGGAACGGAACTGGCCTACAGCGCCTCGTTCACTTGACTGGTTCGACTTGCCAGGTTTGTGGCTTGGCCTGGTTGACATATACTTTGTATACTGTATACTGTAGTACAGCAGGTACACAGCACTGGAGCCCCTGCTCCCCTGCATTGATTGAAGGTGGGGACGGTGGAGACGCTAGTAGCCGCTAGTAACTAGTAACAGCGTTACACACACACACAGAGAGGAAGTCTTAGTGGCATTCTTTCGAAGACATACATGCTCTCACGGAGTCATTGGCATTGGTTAGATACATCAAAGTAACAACGCTGGTCAGGGTGATTTTCCTGAATGCGCACGCAACGAACTGAGGCAAGCCAATATGCCGTAATTTTCGCAGCTGGTGTACGAGACCAACCTGCAAAAGAATCATGGGTCTGCTAGTGTGGCGCTGAACCTCTGGAACGGGTATGGGAGCACCCGGTAGAGTAACTGGAGTAATCTGGAACAACCCGGCCAGATTTCAGCAAACTGGCCGTGGTCCGTTTGGGTCCGTGTCCCAACTGTCTCCAACTGTCATCTTCGATGGCTAAGGATTGCTTGCTCCCCCATAGCGCCTGGTCATGGAAGACCATCTTGGACTTGTTGTCCCTCTTCTGGCTGGGATCGAACCCACTTTTTTGCGCTTCTTCCGATCCGAGCCAAGCACGGGAAAAATCTTTAGTCATCCTGAGGTGCCGGGGGAGAGAAGCTCCAGTAGCCGATTTGAATGCATGGCATTGCATGGCCGTTTGTATAAGAAAAATGCATTCCGCTACCGCAAAACATGATTGCCAATGTCATGAACATGTGCAAAAATCGGAAATGTTTGTGGCTTTGGTGCTGTGTCGTCAGGTCACACTCGCTGGAGCAAACCCTGCTGGTGAGCGCAATTCCTTCAACTGCCGCAGCTGCTCGTGAACTGTCTGGTTTGGCAAGGTCACACATACTGCTTGGTAAGAGCAGCTCCGGAGAAAGGGCCCACAGCACCGAGTCGCCAAGACCCCGCGTTTCATGGAGATCGGATCTGCCAAAGCTTTTCTGGCGTGACGATTTGTGCTGTTTGGAGCGCGGCATTTATGATGGAATCCCAAATGTGCGTGGGAATCAGAAAAGCAAAAATGCAACTTTGAGACTGGAGAGTCGACATGGGTCCCAGCAGCAACCTGTTGTCGACTTACCTCAAAAAACTGAAACCAGACTTTAACGTCAGCAGCAAAGTGCTGCTAGAGCGTTGTTCAGCCATCACCACCGGCAACCCGGAAGGGATTGGAGGTATTTGGTTGCCTGTGCAGGTACCTTCGAGCTGCTTCCGACAGCTACTTGCGACTATGAAGATGCCTGGATCGAAAGACATTCGAACAGTTGTTGTCACATTCCTGTAACTGGCACGTTTTGTAAGCTTTCGAAAACCCCCCCCCTCTCTGGATGACCGGTTTTGTTGGTCGTGTGGCCACGGAACATCTGATGCTGAAACTGTTGATATTCTCGAACTAACCGCTGTACCAAGTCGAGAGTCCTTCCGCGTCACTGCATTTACACAGCCAAGCCAGGGAGATCGTCATTCCATCAATTGGTCAGATCAGAAAAGACTCGGCCGTTTCCACAGCGAGCGTTTGGAAACACTGCTTAGATTAGCATTGTGATAGTCAGATAGTCACCGCGGAGCGATCCTGAGTACGATGTGGTGGTCCTTCGTTTGAGGAGGTTCTTTTTGGCCCTCAAAAACACTGTGCCTTCGGGCAACTCTGCGTTTGCTGAATTACCCAAGCGTAACGCTTCCGAATTGGTTTGGGCAGTTGTGCTCCTTCGAGGCTTCCAAGCACTGCCTCGTCGTTCCATGTAGTGACAATGTAGTGAGAATGCTAGCGGCATAGAAGCGAGGACCAACGCACCACTACTTTCACTTGCTTGGGATGATGATCCTCATCGTCAAATACGAACTTACGGTGCAATTCTGCTTTGACCTGCCGTGCACCAGATGCCTGTGGGCTGCGTTGTCCTAAAGAGAGCGTGCTGGCTTGTACCATTTAGCTCACATCGATAGTAGCTCTACCGGTACTCATGCCAGGAGCATGGGAGCTGATTTGGGCGGAGCCCCGGCTTCCACATCAGCGAGAAACTTGATGCTTTCATGAGCTTCTCGAGTTGTAGCTTTGCGCGCATGAAACGAAGGAAAAGGTGTTTGAAGCATTGCATGTGCGTGTTGCGCCACTGCACACTTTGCTTCTCCAAGGCCATAGATAGTGGTCGAGATGACTGTGGCCATTGCATGTTCTTTCGAAACTGAACGCCTGATGGAAGCACACTGCGCTGTTTCCGAGTTTCCATGAGGTTGCTTCATCATTCAAACTCGCAGTACATTCCAGGCTTCGTTTCGAGAGCTTTTAACGGGAAGCTCCGCCTGTCATGATACAACCCCGTCCTGAGTTTGCGCCAAAGGCTTAAGCCGAAGCTTGTGTAGGCTGTTTGTCGTTTTTGCTTGGAAGCTCGAAAACCCCGTGCAGTGCGTTCAATATACTGCACAGCACTCGGAAAGTTCAACTCTAGTTCGGCGTCAACATTTTACGGTGCGGCCGAGGCGTTTGCACACTGCCGACGCCCAAATGAAGATAGCCGTTAACCGACATATCATGTTTAAGCGTTGGACGATGACCTCCGGATTTCTTCTTGCGTGTTTCCAACCAACGTCCTGATTGGTCTGGAGAGCCTGGAAAAGGACATGGCCGGCCGGTCGGCAGTGGACGCCCTGCAGCTGTAAGCTTCCTGTTTGCTTGCTGCAATTCGTCTTAGTGGAAGGTGCAGAAGAGCACCCGTGCGACAAGTTCCACCAACGGCTGCATAAACTTGGCTCTGTCCCGATCTTTGTAGTCAGTAGTCTGGGCAGTTGGCCCCATGCAAATTCGACACAACTGAGTCCAAGACGCTCCTAGTGAACATCATGCTTTGACATTCCCCGGCAGAAAGGCATCGAGGAGAGTATTGATCTAGCCTTTTTCTGGTCAGATGGGTACCTTTGAGCTCCGAAACGTCCTTCCCTGCTCGTCTAGATTTCACAGGCCATGGCGCACTGTGATAGAACAGATGAAAACTGCGCCTGAAACGAACAAGCACTCGCTCGCCTCACTTTCGCCTCACTTACGCACACAAGCAGAAAAATCATCCTTGCTTGGTGAAATGCTCTGTTTTCATGATGGCTTTAGAGTTGGGGGGGCAAACCATCTAACACAGTACCTTCTTTACCGGCAGAATCCTATAGTATACCGGGTGTGTTTGACGGTGTGCAGGGATTTTCCACATGCATTTCGCTTCGAAACCACAGCTTTTCTGCACCGCTTCTCTTGTCAACGCAGAGATTTTCCACAAGTTTCGGGCGTGGACAACAGCACGTTTTCCACAAGTGTTGGGGCTGAAGAGAAGCACTTGTTCCACATACATGTTCAGGCGGGTCCGGCCTGACCATGCAGAAAGCCGTGACGCAGGCCATGTTCCGCCGGCAGTAATTTTGAGGACAAAGCAAAGATTCGATGACGAAGGTTTTTGTAACATGTGGGGAAATATAAGATTTCATTAAGCAAGAATCCAGCCAATACTCGTGAGAAGAAGGTTCGTGGAAACCAAAGCTGAGATTGCGGACACAACCGCAGACATGCTTTTGGTAATGCTGCAGGAGTTGTGGACAAATCCGCCGTGCACATGTTTTTGGATTGTAGGCTTTTAGGATTGTCGCACACTGTAGCATTGTAAGACTGACCTGCCGCACAAACTACGACATTTGCAGTGGAAGTGTTTGTGCCGACACTATTGTGGACATGTACCGTTGTTTTGCAGACAATCGGACGAAAACTGTTATGGGCAAAATGCGGTGTTTGTGGCCAAACTTGCGGACAATGGCGTGGGAAAACACTGGTGTGTGCCGACACAGCTGCAGACTTGCTGTGGAGATCTAGCCATGTTTGCGGAAAGCCTGCCGAAAGTGCTGTGGACAAACGTCGATGTGTGCGAGGAAAACACCGGCGTTTGTGGACACACTTGCGGACTTGTCGTGGGAACACAGCTGTGTTACGGACAAGCGTGCAGGCAGTGTTGGGGAATATAGTGCGGACAATGTGGTGGAAAAAGAAGTGCTTGACTTCTGCGAAAAGTGTTCTGGGAATGCTTCGTGCGAGCATTATATTTGTCAAGCAGAGATGCAGAAAATGTGGTTTTGCAAAGAAACGAACCAAACCAACATCCAGTTGCACAACACAAGCTGTGTTTCCACAACAATGTCCGCAAAGCTTTCCGCAACACAGGTTGTTGTTCCACAACAGTTTCCGTAAATGTCTCCGCAACACCGGTTGGTGTTCCACAACAATTTCCGCAAATGTTTCCGCAACACCGGTTTCTTGTTCCACAACAATTTCCGCAAATGTTTCCGCAACACCGGTTGTTTTTCCACAACAATTTCCGCAAATGTTTTCGCAACAGCACCGGTTGATTTTCCGCAACAGTTTTCCGCAGCACAGTTTGTTTCTCCACA